ATATAAGTCAAATTATTACTCTCATAAAGTACCATTAAATATTATTTGCATAAACATTATTTAACTACAAAAAATATTTTTAATGAGATGACAAAAATATTTTACATCTCAAATGCGTCTTGCAAGGGTAATTACAATATTTAATATATACTGATACTAGCACTTATGTTGTACATTTTACAAAGTTTGAATCTTAATATTTCAATATGCGATGTCATTGTATTACATAAAATCTTATTATATTACAGAAATCAAATTCGTCATTTTACTTAAGAACTGCTTTGCATTATTTTGTGCGGTTTATACAATTATATAGAAGTCTTTTAAAGTAGAGAATACAGTTACTGTTGTCAGTAACTAAAGAACTAGTCGTTTTAACCCGCATTAAAATAGGGTACTCCAAACTCTGCTCCTTCATGCGAAGAGTGTAACACACCGGTCATAACAGATTACCTAATACTGGTCTGCCCAAAGTATAGTTTCTTCTATAATAAATAAAAACTGGAACCCAGTTCTCTTAAAGAAAATCTAGAAGAAATATAGCGAAACAACACAGACTGTTCAACGTCGCTAATAACCTCGTAGTTGATGCGACGAAAAACAAGGAGAAAAAGCAAAATTCAATAATATATATGCACTCAGTCAAAAACGTCTCCATACACCATTTAAAATAAAATAATTTTTTTAAAATTAGACCAAACGACTTGAGTTTTTTTGAGAAGTTAGAAGGATTAGTATACTAGACGACGTGTCGAAAAAATTTTGAAGAAATTGCAATTTGTGGGAATCGCGAAGAAAATTGTAAAGGTCACTGTTTACAACTTTTTTATCTGAGCTTGTAATGAAAATTTAAAACATACGTTTTGTAGATTTATATCAAATATATACATGTTGAAAATTTTATCGAAATCGGTTGATGGAGAAACAAGCGATAGACATCGAAAGATGTAAGCATCACCAAATTTATTGCAGTTATAGGCCGAAAGTCGTGAAATGGTGCGATTTTCACAATTTTTAACCGTTTGTAGCTCATAGCAACATTAACCGATTTCGATTAAATTTTCAGCATGTATATAATTGACACAGATAAAAATGTTGTAAACAGTGACTTTTACAATTTTCTTTGCACTTCCCACAAATTGCAATTTTTAAAAAATTTTTTGAACACGTCATCTAGTATACTAATCCTTCTAATTTCTCAAAAAAAATTGAAATCATTTGGTCGAATTTTAAAAAGGTTATTCTATTTTAAAGGGTGTATGGAGACTTTTTTGACTGAGTGTACATATATATATATGTGTGTGTATATATATATATATATGTATATCTCTACATCATTATATTATTTTTGAACCAAAGTACATTCTATCAGTCTTAATCAGAGGCTTGTTTAATGTATTTCATTATGGTATCAACAACTTGTCTACTTGTAGCATCTCCACCAAGATCACGAGTATGGACACCTTGATTGATAGTTTTATTGATAGCATTCTGAATTAAAACAGCATGATGCTTATGTCCAAGATGACGTAACATGTCAACGGCGGCATTTAACATTGCAATAGGATTGGCAATATTTTTTCCAGCAATGCCTGTTCCAGTGTTACGAGTACCTGGTTCAAACACTGTATAGTGATCTCCAAAATTTTTACCTGCTAATAATCCAGCACCCCCTAACAGACCACATACTACATTTGATACAATTGCACCATATAAATTAGTTGTTAATACAATATCAAATTGATGTGGATTGGAGACCAATTGCATACAGGTATTATCAATAATCATGTTATTATGAGTAATATCTGGGTAATCTTTTGCAACTCTTTTTGATGTTTCTAAAAATAATCCATCAGAGAGCTTCATTATATTTGCTTTATGAACTGTTGTAACTTTTTTTCTTCCATTCCGTTTAGCATATTCGAATGCATATCTTGCAACACGTTCAGAATTGGTAGTTGTAATAACTTTCATGCTTTCTACAACACCTTTCACACTTTCGTGTTCTAGCATAGCATATTCCCCCTCTGTATTTTGTCTGACAATAACAATATCAATGTTTTTATGGCGTGAATTTACCCCTGGATATGATACACAATGTAAAACATTTACATAAAGATCTAATTCATTCCGAAGAGCAACATTTCGGGAAAGTACACCAGCTTCTGTGCTACGAGTTTCAATGTTTCCTTTTAATGCTACACCATTTCTACGAATTGATGTAATAGCATAATCTAAATCAACATTATCATCTGCGTTTGGATCAATATCTACATCTTCAAAATCTACTGGAACACCTGCAAAACTGAAAACCTATAACAATTATATAAAAAATTATATAAGATATTTTTCATTAACATATCATTTAAAATTTAACAATTTGAAGGACACATGAGCAGTAGCATGTATCTACAAGGTAATCTTTTTTATAAAAGTATATAAATAATGTTTTACAATACCTCTTTTACATAGGTCATCAATTCTGGACCAATTCCAGCACCAGGTAAAAGTGTAACTGTATGTCGCCCTCCATAATGTGCTTTTGGTATAGGCATTACTTTTTTGATAGATGGAGTTTTATGTTGTATTTCAAATGCAGAGAGTGAAGAACATCTATGAATTTGGTGTGCAACAGTTTTTGGACGTAAATACTTAACAATGGAACGAGCAGCCATTTCGAAAGTTATTCTACAAATTACATATAAAATATAATTAAATTTCAATATTTATTATTTAATATGAATGAATTGAGTAATGATTTA